TTATATCTTTATTGGTTAATTTATATAAATAGTTATATAAACTATATAAAAACTTAATTTGTACAAAGACAAATAAATATAAATTATATATAAGAATTAAAGCTCAAACTAAAAGCTTAAACTAGAAGTTAAGGCTAAAAGCTTGGGCTAATTATCTGTAACCTGAACCTACTAAAATTGTCAAAACTTATCTAAATTTGAATTGTTAGAATATAATTAATAGATATATTATATTTAATCTACAAAGTATACCAGATGTTAAGTTTACAAGTAGCTTGTTCTAGAGAAGGGCAAGTATTAGATTCTGAGTATAGTTGGTTAGCAAAACCACAAGGGTAGTTATAGATATAATTAGTTTTATTTTTCTTGTTAAAAAAAATTAAAAAGGATCAGAATAGTGATTAGTAGTTAGGATAAAGAGAGATTTGGTAAGATTTTTTCAATTGAGAGAAATTTATACAATATAGGATCTAGATATTGTTGTAGAGTAGGTCAAAGATATTAAGTAGTAGTTTAATAATAAGTGGAAGACATTAAAATATAAAATGTCAAATAGATCTAAGGATTTGATTAAAGAAATTGGTATAAGGCCTTTAAGTGTATAGTGGAAAGAGAATAGATAGAGTTGAGAGGATTGGAGGTAGAAGGCAAGATATGAGAAGATAGTATGTATAATGTTGTTTAGTTGGGATAAAGAGAGGTTAAGGTTGGAGTTAGATAAAGTGTTGTATATAGTAGAGTTGATAGTTTAAATTAAGGTGTGGCTAGTACAAGTATAGTAGTAAGAAGAAGAGTCTAGATTGTTGCAAGAAAAGCAATTGAGGAATATAAATAAATAGGAATATATATTGTAAAAGTATGTATGTGTAGATAGAATATTAAGTAGCATTTTGATTTTAAAAGCTTTTAAATAGTTTAGTTTAGGATTAGTAAAGTTATGAGTTAGTATAGTTGAATAATAACAAGAGAGGGCCAGAATGGTTATTGGCAAGTAAGCTTGTAAGGTTATTGAAAATATTGTCAAAGTGAGCCTGGACTTTGTAAAGGAAAAGTTGGATATTAAAAGCTTTTAGAATATTGAGAGTGTGTGCCAAATAGGCCAAGAGTTAAATTTAAAGTTTTAGTAGAGCGAGGAGATAGGGTAAGGAATTTGTTATATTTGGATATAACTAATTGTGAGTCAGTAAAGATTTGTAATCTAGAATTGTGTGGGATAGTTGAGATAACAGATAGAATTGCTAATAGTTTAGTTTTATAAGAGAAGGGCCAGTTTGTAATTTGAGTAAAGAAGCTTTGTATGATTTGGTTATTTTAGACTTGAACCTAGCCAATATCTGTAGAGCATTGGTTAGTACCAAGTTATTTGACAAAGCAATTTGTATAAAAGATAAATTGATACTAGAAAAGGTTGGCTAGTATAATTTGAGTAAGCTATAAAGAGGTCTTATTGTAGTAGAAAATAGTAGATATAGGTAAGTCAATGAGGTTAATTGATAATATAGATAGAATTTTAGTAGCATTTTTAATATTAGTAAACTGAATACGATCAATATAGCTAGTATTGAGATTAAGTTGTTTGTTAGCTTTTTTTCTTTCCAAGAATTAAGTAGAATAAATAGCAGATACTTCAAGTATATAATAGCTAGAAATTTGGTTAGAATTGAGGTTATAGCTATAGCAGAGTGTACAAATAATAGAGGCTAGTAGATAGAAGTTGGGGATAGAGATGTTGCTATTGTGTTGTTAATAAGTTATAGAAATAGTATTGGTTTTGAAAAATATTTTGCAGATTTGGCCTATTACAATATTATTATTAAGATAAGATAGAACTCAAAGCTTGTAGGTTTTGGAGATAGAGTTGATTTAGTATGCAAAGAGATTAAGACCTTTAGGTTAGAATTGTAGTAAAATAGTATAAAGTAAGTTGTTGTCAAAAATAGTATTTTCAAGATAAATAAACCAGGTGGGTTTTCTGTTTTTGGGAATATGTAGATAGATAGTATCAGTTTAAGAAAGTATTATTGTCAGCTAAGCAAAGTTGTTTTAGATAAAGAATATGTTTATAACAAAGTTGTTGTTTAAAGATATTATATTTGGGGTGGTTAGAAAGAATATTTTCAAGTGAGGTGTTACTACAGTCAGACCTCTCTAAGTGCACCCTCTATAAGTGCACACCCTCTCTAAATGCATGCTTAAGTGCCAACCTATATATATACTTGATCTCCATCAATACACCTTTTCTTATTATTCTCTATATGCATGTTATTAAAGTGTAGTCCTAAGGGTGTGCACTTAGAGAGGTCTGACTGTATTAGTAATTGTTTTGAGCCAAGAAAAATTAGTGTATGCATAAATAGAAGTTTGTAGATAGTTAAATTGTATGATTTTAAAGGTAGTTGTATATTTGTTTAAATTATCAATAATAGGATAAGGCTATTGTAGAATATTAGTAGTTAACCAAAGATTATTTTGAAGTTGCTAGAGTTGAATATAGGTTGTGGTGCAAAGAGTAGAGTTGTTATTAATGTGGTTAAGAAAATTACTGGTATAGTGTTGTAATTGTATATTTTAAAAATTGTGAATATTAACAGTATTTGTATTATTGTAATAATTCAATATATTAATTTAAGTTTATAAAAAGAATCTTATAATCTGTAATTATAAATATTAGTTTATTGATTATACTATTTAATCTTATTAATCTTAATTACTATTTGTTTATAATTAAAACTAAATTGGTTTACTGTATAAGTGCATAATAATGCACATGGGCGTTATTTCAAAATTTCAATTTTTTAAAAAATTGTATACTTGACTCAAAATAATACTCATGTGTGTCTCAAAATAATGTGCCCCAATTGTGCCAAATTATCTTTCAAGTATTATTTTAATCTTCAAATAAATTTGAATACAATAAGCTTAGATTCAATATCTAATTCTAAAACCTATTTATTATATGATTAAACAATATATCTAGAATTTATTTTGCTTATATTTTCTTTATTTTTAAAAAATTAAGTTCTATTATGATGTTTCAAGAAAGTTCTTAGTAGCCAAAATTTTTTTTCAAAATTAGCATAATAATTCGAATTATCATGCATGTGCATCCTGAAATAATATGCAGGGGCTTAAAATAACATACTCTTGTATATTATTACATGCTTATATAGTAAGACTTTATAAAGCTCTTTTCTAATTGTAATACCTGTTATATTTTTAATCTAGTAATATATAAATTAAAACAAAAAGTTGCTTTAATATTTATATATCAAATAGCTATTTAGTAAAAAAAATTAACATACTAATATAGCAACTCTATTAACTTAAAAAATATTTATAAAATTGGTATAGATAATGTTTGAATTATAGATAAATTTGTAATCAAAGTAAAAATACAGTAGAAACTAAGTATTGAGACATGTTATATCATAACTAAATTATAATTTATATTATATTTATTTTAAAATTATAGTTTAGTATATTTTAATATATATATATTATTTTATTTATACAGTATTATAATATAGCTATTTTATAAATTATAATCTTTCTTATAAAAAAAGCAGTTTGAAGTATTATACAGAAAAACATTATATATATAAGATATTATAGATTGTATAGCATATTTTACAAAATAGCATAATTAAAGATAGAGTGAAGAATCTATATTTTTAATAGCAATTATATTGCTAAAATTTTTTACAATAATATTTAATTAAAATTAAATAATAATTATTAGATCTCTGCATAAGCCAGGGCTACCCACAGGTACCCTAAGAGTAGTATCAATAAGGCCAGGCTTGGGCATCAAATTACAAGTCCTAGAGTAGGGTAGGTCTTAGAATCTCAAGCTCTTATATTATATGGATAGGGCTTGAATACCAACAATATCTGGCTTATATACTCATAAAGTAGCTCATTATATGTATATATAACTATCTACTAATCAAAACTTGTATTGATCGATAATCTTTTTTTTTAAACTATATATATAGTATTTTTTTTGCTTAAGTACTATAATAATATCTTTGATCAAAAGAAGAAAAAGCACTAGCCAGTTCACTTGCAGGAACAATACTTTGAAAGTATCGAATACTGAACTTTACTATAAGTTTGTTATATTATGTAAATAATTTTTTGTAACTTTAAAATTCATATAAGCTTTTTTTTTTTTAAGCTTTATAATGCTCTTTAAGTGCAATAGTTTTTTGTAGTAATAATCTTTAATCAAAAAGAGAAAGAGTATTAGCTGGTAGCTTTGCAAAAACAATACTTTAAAAGAATTTATTAATAAACTTTTTGTAAATTTATATAAATTAGGCAAATAATTTTTGTATAATTACAGTATGTACTATATATTAATATTTCTTTTTTTTTATATATTTAAAAACTTTTTATAAATTCTACTTTATCTTTATTGATAATATCTTTGATAAACAGAAGAAAAAGTATAACCAATACACTTTATACAAATAATACTCTAAAAATATTAAAATTTATTGTAAGTTTGTTTTATAAATATTGTAATTTATAATTTATAATTTTTCTTTTCAAATTATCATAATACAGATGCTTTATTTTTTTTAAATAATATTTATTAGTCAACAATCAATCTATATACATGGATGAAATTGATAATAATGAGAATAGAATTTATGATCATAGGGTTTATAATGATGAGATGAATTTTTTTGAGAATAATAATTATAATAGTGAATTAATTATTCCAAATGATTCTGTTTCTGTGTTATCTGTTTTAGATTCTTTAATTACCAATTCAAGTACCAATTTAGACACCAATTCAAGCACCAATTTAATTGCTAATTCAAGCACCACCAATTCAAGTTTTAATATTAATGTTATTAAAAAATTCAATAAAGCAACTACATCAAAGAATAGATCCCCTGTATAGAAAATTTTTCAGTATTAGAAAGTAATCTAAAAGCCAAATGTAAACACTGTAAAAAATTACTTAGCCACAAAAAAGAAAATAGAACATCTCATCTCCAATATTATTTTAATTCTTGTGTGAAGTATTAGAGATCAAATACTAATGTTGCAAATCAAAATGGTCAAAATGGCTAAAATGATCAAACTCAACTAAGGTTTAATTCAACAATTAGCCAATCAAATACTGGAGACTCAAACCATAAAAACCTTGCTTATATGATAGTTATGATAAATTAAACTGTCAGTTTGTTGAAAACATAATTTTTAAAAATTTGTTAATGGAGTATTATCTGATTTTATCATCAGTGCCAATACAATAAAGCATGATATTATGAAGACTTTTGATAAAAAAAAATCTTTGATTAAAGCAATTCTTCAAGATGCTGAAGGAAAAATCTTTTTTATTTATAATACTTGGACTTTACTTTAGCAACTTGATATATGGCAATCACTACACTTTTTTTTAATAAAAACTAAAAACTTATTTCACTTTTATTATTATTTAAATTAATTGCTTATCTTTATACTCGAAGTAGTATTACAAATTGTATTAAAGATATTACAAATAAATATTTTATTACTACTAAAGTAATTAGAATTAATTTTTCTTGTATATACATAATTATATAATATATATACTATAGAAATTAACTAATGTTTACTACAGGTAATTATTACCTGTGATTTACAAAAATAATTAATTTTTATCAAAACAAAAAATTAACTTCTTTAAGATTAGGGTAAGGGTTAGATATTAGAGTTAAGGTTAGGATTAGAATAGTACTTTATATATAGTAAAATTTAGCATAAAATTTTTTTGTAAAGCTTAAAAGTTGGTTTCATAGACTAAATTTTAAGATATAAGTATTTTTTTAAAAAATTTTTTGTTTTTGTTATACAAAATTGATTTACACATTACACCTGATTCTAAATTTTAATTGGCAAATTGACTACAAGTGATAATTACCTGTAGTGTAAATTAGAAATATTCTATACTATATATATTATATTTATAATAATAAATAATAAAAATATATTTTAGTTTCAAACAAATACTCTTGACAATGCAGCTTCAAATAATGTCACAGTTCATGAATTAACTAATAGTATTTTATGGGAGTTAATTGCCATTAATATTAAAATTTTTCATAATTATTGTCTTGCCTATATCCTTAACTTTATTGTAAAAGATAGATTAAAGAAAATTTTAGAGAAAATCAAAATGATACCTATTTATATATATAAATAATTTTAAATAATATATAATAATTTAATATACTATATTTACTGTATATAATGTAGATTCATAGTTGCATTAAAGCAATTCATATATTACCAAAACAATATCAAATATTTATTGATACTTGTGAATATGAGTTGCTTAGAAGTATAATTCTACTATTAGACTGTGAGCTAGATAGAACTTAATATTTATGATATTACAATTAGCAATAGGATTAAAAACTGCAATTATTAGAGTAAAAGATAGTGATAAAGCTTTTTCAGATATGCTAAATAAAGAAGAATAAAAAAAAGCAAAAGCTATTTGTTATATTTTAGAACTATTCTATAGATATAAATATTAATAGAGCATTTTATATATTATTTGATTTGAAATTTGTATATAAGATTAGGTTGTGTAAAGTTAATTTTTGTATTACAATATTCGAAATTAAATTTTTTTAAAAAAAAAACTTTTTTTTTTTTATTAAAAACTGATGTTGTGGTTGCTTAATGCTTTATTGTGTTTTTGTGTATCTGTATTAAGACATTTTTGATACATTAACAAGTGTGCAACTAGCCACATGTACAACTTTTGATTGCCTATTTAAGTAGTCCACCTGAAGGTTCTACACTAGTTGCCATACCTGCAACCTACTAGGAGATTGCCTATTTAAAC